AAAAAGAAAAAAGAAAACTAGTAGCCCGCGGTGACACGTCACAAATCAGCGGAAAATGTGGTGATTATGCGTAGTTCGCAAAGAATTTGAACATGGCAGACGGAGCAGTGCATGAAGATTTCTTGAAGTTCACACTAGTCCATGGTAATGAAAACAAACACCTAATGCAGTTATTCCAGTGGAAAATTCGGTAATGAATCAGCTCTAAGCGTTATTGGTTTTTTTTCAGGGTCAAATAAATACCCGGTTGAATTACAGACGGATAGCAGCAATGACGGACCCACAGTTGAAGATTTAGCAAACCTTGCAGCTCGACTCACCGATGTACCTAGAGGATCACAGAGGCTCATTTTTAAAGGTGAGTGGCATTGAAGAGAAGCTGCATTGCGCCCAGTCACTATACGGTGGATTATTCTTGCTTATGATCCATCCCAACAAATATTTTTGCTCACGCACGATTGGTCTAAACACATTACGTGACCGAATATTCCCTACACTAAGATCGGAGGATATCCGAGGATATCACTCAATTTTCAAATCTTATGTCCACTATATGCTTATTTTCGTGCCAAATAGATGATACTGTTTCGAATAACATAGTGTGAATCAGGTAGTTGAAAGCTATACGGCCCTGCACAATAAGAGCTGAAAGTAACGGACTACTTAGCTCATTTCTTAAATCTTTAACCCTTTTGAGTGACTAACATCTAATTTCTCCTCACAACATCACCCCTGAATCAAACATCCAGGTCACAAGAATAAAACAAATAATCACCAACATAAGGAACTCTGGATTTTTAAACAAATTCACCTTGTCAGCACCTTCGGAAATGTATAGAGAACAGTATAGAGAATATGCTTACTGATATTATGGTGTCAAGGGTTAAAACTTTATACTATGAAAAATGTTTGAGTTAGGTTTCTTTGTTTTAGGGCAGTCATTGACAGATCTCAGTCAATCACTAAAATCTCTGAGAGTGAAGAATGGAAGTAAAGTTATGTTAATTGGCAAAAAGGTCAGTCTAGTTTGGATATTGAAATAATTTTCATTTGGGTGTCTAAAAAATTAATAATCTGTGATTACTTTGATGTTGCTGCATTTCGTTGTAAGTTTTTTGTTAAACACTTGTGCCAAATTCAATACAAAATGAAAAGTCATTGTGACTTAGTTACTGTACTGCTTATATGTAAGCTGACAGTTCCAACTCCAAACTAGATTATCAATCCTCAAAACTTTTGAGAATTTAAGAATAGAGAATTGAGACCAGAGGATCTAGGCCGGAGATACTTGAGGAGTGTTGATTTCAAGGATCTTGGTCTTCGGCTTCAAGGAAGCAATTTTGTTCTCGCACATGGAGCAATATTATCCTCTGTTGCGGATAGTTTACATATTTTACTCTGAATCCTTACTACCTTCTTAAGATATTATCCTGAACTCTGATTTGCCATTTTAAATACTTAGGGTTTGGTTTTACAACTGACACTCAATTTAAATGCACTCTACTAGCAGGGTTCATATGCATCCTATAGACCTGGAAAATTGTGGAATTTTATTTTGTCACTTTCCAGGACTGGAAAGTCCTGGAAAAAGACTACAGGAATGGAAAGTCCTGGAAATTTTCTCAAATCAAGCTATAAAATTTTAAGGATTTACAAAAAAATGTTTTCAGATCGCAAGGAGAATTGATTTACGAATGTTGGGAATGAAAGGGTGTATGGTGAAATTGAAGCCCTTGAAGAATCAATCTGAGTCCTAGAAACGTCCTTGAAATTTGTTTCTGGAAAAGGGTCGGAACCCTGTATTAGTAGGAAACTCAAGGAGAAGTTGATTGCCTTCAGCATGCACTGAAAATGATTAATTTTTTTTTTTCCTTTGTGAAGTTTAATCCTTTAGAAGAAGAGAATATGAAAGCTGTATTAGCTGCTGAAAAGAAGGCTGATGATATAGAGAAAAGACTTACTGAGAATGTGGAAGAACTCCAAGGAGTAGAAAAGGTTATATAATTGGTTTACTTTTTTAAAAGATGACTTCAATGTGGAATTTGAATAATAATTGGTTAGTTTGCTAGCCAACAAGATTGTCCTTCGCACAAGTTGATTGGTCCATACCACTAGTAATCAAAACTATAACAAAATTCTCAAAAGTGATTGGTTATCACCAGCTCGATTTGAGCACTAATAGGTCAGTGTATGCATCATGCTTTTAATAAGATAGTGTAATGTGACAGTTAAAATGACAGTGAACATGTCATACCTGTGTAAGTTGACAGAACACATCATGTGTGCAGAATGTTGTCTCACATTTCACCAAGTTAATTGTTGTTTTGTTTTGTTTTTTTTATGAAAATGTACAACTGATGTCTAATTTCTCTCTCAAATTTTGTCATAGTTTTGATTAAGTGGTAACAGGACTTTGTGTCATCCAACTCTATCTGTAATTGTACATGCAATTAATACATCAGACTCCTGCTTCATGGTTGTCTGATTTTGTTAATCACTCGTATGGTTACAGACCTAAATCCACTCAGTCCTATTACCATCATTGATAGCATCTGGTTTCCACAACAAAGAGTGATCATGGGTGTTGCTACTCCCCTAAGCAACAAATTCTCTGTAATAAAGGTGGAAGAAGGAAAAATAATTACCAGCCAGAGAATATATACAGCTATATTTACCAAATTCTCCAAGCTGAAATTATGAAAATATTTATGGCAAACAATGTGGAGAATTTATCAGTAGATCTAAGGAAAAATACAAGCGACACCATTTGGAAATTTTACCAGAGCTTTAGTCTCTAGAGTCTAAAGCATGTTAAGCTTCCATATCTTCAGGTCCACCGGATTACTCAGGGAATATTTGAATCAAAGTAATAAATAGATGTATTATCGTTCAAATATCTTACACATCATGCTTTTTTCTCAACAGGGATTTCTTCAAACTGAATTAGTCAACCAGACCCTGGATAAGCTAACAAGGAAAATACAGGGAATAACTGAGGACTTCATGAAAACTCTTGAGAGTTTGGACTCCTTGGTTAGTAGCCAACAATATAAATCCCAAGCAACTCTATCATTTTAACCCTCAGAAGTGACGAGCATGGTTGTTGCGGCAATCAGTAACTAACGATGTAAAATCAAAACTTTTAATCCAAAATCCTTCATGAAGGCATGTAGAAAACTTGCACTAAATTATTACAGTGTTTAAATATGTGCATGTGAAAATTACAAGCTTCTGATTGGCTGAAAACAAGTGTATTCTCATGTAATATGGGTGCAAAGTTGTAACACAGGTGCAAATTATGAATAGCACCATGTAGGTTTTCAAAATTCCATTTGTCTAGACTTTCAGTGATGTTTTTCCATGTTCATTATTGACAAGAAATACCATGATGTCTCCTGCAATTTTGTGTAATAAGCACTGTCTTGTAAATTTTTCAAAGAGTACAAATTGTACTTGCCCTTCAGACCAGTGCAGTTTTTTTGTCTTTGAAAAATTTACTAGTGCTTATTAACACCAAATTGCACCCAAAATCATTTTATTACCTAAACTAATGCAACATTATGTTTAAAATTGAGAAAAAATGACCAATACATGTATATGGAACTTTTAACTCTGTGGCCTGGTAGCACCATTCCACTTGATGCCATCAGCAGTCGTGCACCAAAACTTAGTTGCCCCTTAGGTGGAACCCAGGTGACAGTGGTACAATACAGCCAGTTTTACTAACTAAAGGTCACTTTCAAAAAACTGACACAGCCCATTTCAGGAAAGGAACAATAAATTTCATTTAACTTGTCTCATACTTGCTTGCTCTGGCCCTACACATGGTTTACCTCTACCATTGACTAGAATGATTAGCATCTAATTTTTCCTCACAACATCACCCTGTATGACACATTGAGGCCATGAGAATGATAGAAATGATCACCCTGACTAAAGAAGTTCTTGATTTAGTTGGTGGTACTTTTTTTAATTCTCTCAACCTTACTGTTTGATTCAGGGGTGATATTGTACTTGGAGAAGTTAAATGCTAATCACCCTTAGACCTTAAAGGGTTAATTTTGTTTTTTACTCTACCCATGTGACACCAGAGGCACTGTGAAGGGAAGACTATTCAGGGATTAAAGTAATGTTCACTGATAAACTTTTTTCATGTAACATCAGGTAGAATGATAGAGTAGTTATGCCATGGACAGAAATGACAAATCATTTTTAACCTCTTGAAATGATGAATTGGGATAAATTATCAACCCATTTAAAGTGTTCCACTATCAATGAACTCATCTGTGTGTAGCTTTTGAAGCTTTCTGAGATTTGAATTTTACTTTTGCTGTTTAAATCAGCTCATAGATTCCAGCCTGCAACAAGCCAAGGCAAAAAAGAAATCTCTTGTTCAACGAATTCAGGTAAGTCTGAAAACAACTTCAGTATAACATAACATTTGATACAATTTTTTCCACTTTTGAGGTCACAAATTTGAGTTATTGCTTGCAATGCAATATGTAATATTGTATAATGCAATTTATCATACACTGAATTTACTATGAACAATTTGATTGGTTAGGATCATTCAATTAATATTCAGTAGTATGTGAAGCAGACAGGTATTGCATTTATTATG